CAGTGGCCATAAGCCGTTTTTTTGTCTGTTTACCCGCCTGTTGGCTGCAACCAGAAAGGTTCCTTATGCATTTCCCATGGGTGAGGCAAGTGGAAAAACCAGCAAAAGCTCCTCTCCAGATGCCCATCCACCCGTGGGAGTTGCCAGGGGCCTGGCCCTGAAGGGAACACAACTGTCCTGAAACCGAAAAGGACCCAGGGTCTGAACTGGAAAAGCAAAAAAGCACCACTCCTGGAGCGGGATTCCAAACCTGACCCTTGGGAAATTCAATGGATATCTTACTGGATTGTAGTGAACAGGCAGATGAGTGGGTTCCAAAGATGCTTAGTTGGAAAAGCAGCAAGTTGAAGTGTACAGAGTCCCGGCATCTCAGGCTGCTGCAGGCAGGAGGAAGTGCCGGGAAAAACCGAGATGGAAAGTGGGTTATGAGTTTAGATTTTTAGGATCCCCAAAATTTCCCGCGCCCCTGGCGGGAGAGGTTTTGGGGAGAGCCTAAACCGAATTGGGTGCCAAATGTTAGATTTTTGTTTAAATTAGAAATAAAAAAGAGGAGGCACAAGATGAGACATGAGACTATTAGACATATTAACCAGGCCCGGCAGAGGAGGGAGACTGAGAGAGAAGAGAAACAGGGTTAATGGCTGACCGCCATGTCCGGTCACCATAGAGAGGCAGAGAGAGCACATAGGTGGGAGAAGAGAGGAGGAGAACAGAGAGAAGAGCAGAGAGAGAGAGAGAGAAAGAGCATAAATGGGCAGGGATCTGTGTTTTAAAGGGGTCCTCTGCACCTGCGTGCAGACTTAGTTCCCATGGAACCCTGGGCTGACCAGGGTACTGCCTGTTCCGCCAGGTAACAGGTTTTCTCCTCTCATCCTGCCTCTCTGTTTTGGAAGGTTTTATCAGCTCTTCTGAAAAAGCTTTGGTGGAATTGTCAGTAAATCATCCAGCCTTGGACTTTTCTATGCTGCAAGACCTTTTTTTTTTGTTGTTTGTTTCCCTTTCTTTTAATTACTGCTTCAATCCCCATTGTTGTAGTTCTGTTTAATTGGTCCATGTCGTCTTGATTTGATTTTTGTTAGTTCACACGTGTCTTGGAGTTTACCCATTTCTTCCAGATTTCTAGCTTGAGTATGTTTCTCTGTGTTTCATTGGAATCGGTAGTAATGTCTGCCTTTCCTATCTTTTAACCCTGCTAGCTGTTTTCTGTCTATATTAGTGGGTTGAGGCTATTTACATTTAAGGTTGTTAATGAGAGAGACGTTATTAATTGCTGTAATTTTGTTGTCTCGGGGTTTTAATGTATTGCGGGTATGTATCGTGATGGTCAGTGGTTGTTCCTCCCATGTTTCTATCTATGAAGGTAAGTAGGTGATTTTTCCTTACAGCTCTTAAGATTACTTTGTTGCTTTGTATTTCCAGTTTCTTGGCTACAATAAGTGTTGGGGGAGTTATCTGTTCATTGTGTTTTGGGCTCCAAATGTTGATGACCCAAGGTTTGGAAATTTTCTGCTGTGATTTCATTGTAAAGATTCTTTATGTCTTCAGTGATTCCTTTGTCAGCCCCTTTGTGTCTGCTGGAGCATGATTGCCCCACAGTGCTGAGGTGCTGGGCTCACACTGGTGTTTTCCTCGCTGAAGCCTGAACAGAGCATTTTGACAGCCTCCCTCCAGTCTCCATGCTCTTTCTCATGCATGGTCAAGTTTGTTGGTGATTTTTATTTGAATCCCTGACTATTTTATTTTTAACATAGCATTTCCCCTACATCTCAGTTTTTGCTGGCTGTCTTATGCGAGGCACTAGTTTTCTCAGTGGTGTGGCTGACACTCTCTGTGACTGCCATTCTTCTCCATATAATGGACTGAACTTACCTGCTTGCTGATGTCCTGTTTCATGTCTGTATCCACTTTTAGCAGCATTGTGAAACCTTCACCTGGAGTTTTACATATCTCAATGTCTTTGAACTCAGTAGTGGAGCAGCTGGGAGCTTTTCAAGGAATCACGTTGCCAAGCATTTTCTTGTTGGGTTTCTCTGTTGCACTCTGAATATCTGTTCTTTTGTCTGTGTTTTTGGCTGTGGGGAATCCTTTTATTGATTATCTTACTCTTGAAGCCCTGATCCCCAGTCTCGCTCAACAAGAAGAAAGTGTACCGCCATCTTAATAGAATCAGCAGACACAGCTCCAATGACACCTTTGAAGTCCATGGCAGCTCACTAATACATGAGATTTCATAAACCTGAAGATGGATGTAGTGTGTTCTCTACGTTAAATATTACCTAGGATAAATAGGAAATAGTAAATGAATGAAATAATGGAAGGAGATAGGTTGGCAAAGAGGAGAAGCAAGATAAGTTTAAAGATAAGAAATGTTCAGAAATTAAAAAAATAGTAAGAGATTAGAAAAATAAAGGAAAAGGGGAGGAGACTTCTCAACTAAAAGAAAATTAAAAGTACAAAATAGGTAGGTGTAAGAAGGAAATAAGAAATAAAAGTTTTTTTTTTTTTTAAAGTTTATGTCAGTGTTGTGGAATAGAACAGGGTGGAGGAGGCAGTGCACGAAGCAGAAGAGAAGGCCCCATCCTGTGGGGAGGCGCCAGCTGGGAGGGAGGGCTGTGTGAGTGGGACCACCAGAGAAGACATTTAAAAAGGAATAGTGAAGTTTATGCGTCCTGTCAGATGTGTGGATGGGGTTTGGGGTTACAAGAGGAGAAAAGAGAGGTCACAGGAATAAAGAGATCTGCTGCTGGAGCCGTCTCTGCCTGGGTCCATGAGGGCTGGAGAGTGCCAGATGTATGCCTGGAAACAGGAGCTGAACTGCACACTCTTGTCTTTCCTGTGGTTTATGCTGCTGTGGAGTCTGCTGTTCCCCAGAGGTGTCCTTACCCTGGGAACATTCCTTCTTGGAGAACTAGCGGCCTCTGCTGGCCACCATTAGCTTTGTTTCCTATGGGAGGGAAGGCTCTTGCCCTACTCAGGCTTCCAGACCAGACTTGGGCCAGTGAAGACAGAGGACCTGTGTTCAGACTTCTCTAGCTGTATAGCCATGGACAACACGCCCCCGCTGTACCTGCTGGCCCTCAGAGAGATCAAACTCAGATTATTCTCAATCGAAGGGATGGACATCTGGCCATGGAGGGCACTGCTGTCTTCCCTTAGGTACTCTCCAGTCTGTTTCCAGCCCCTGCTGCCAGTTAGATGTCTTCCTCACTTGTGGTTGGCTGTTGGTCTTGGATCTAAGGGTAGCTCCATTTTAACAGCATTTGGTCTCAAGGTGGCACCTCAGATTGGCTCTTGATTGCCACCTTCTGAATCTCCTAGGGTGACAAAATGGGATTTCTAGCCATCAGTGACACGTTTGCCAAAGGAATCACCATCTCACCCAAATCCATGACTGTATTTGAGCCTTGAGGGCCACAGGTTTATCCTGAGGACAGGACTGCCAGATTTTCATTTGGAGGCCACTTCTGCCCCCTGAGCTTGCCAGGGTCTGTTTTGCTGTGTGTTTCTCTTGTTCTCTGCTTCTCATGTTTTTTTCTTTTCTTTTTTTCTTGCTCTTTTCTGGTAGCTGTTCCCTCACTTTGTTTGTAGATTTCTAGAGGCTACTCTTTAGAATTCAGCTTCTGTCTCTTCTGGCTCAATGTAGGTAGCCTCTAGTCACAACCTTCCTGGATCCTGTTACTTAGTACCTTAGATGTTATTTTCCAAATATAAAAGCTAGGTGTTAATCTCAAAGTCCTTTTCTGTTATCTTTATAATGATTATAGTGTTGAATTGATAATATATTCTTGTGTATAATTTATATAGACCTTTTGCTTTTGTTTATGAATATTAGTAATGGTAATTTCTGTGCATTAGACATTAACTTGGTTGTATGACCAGCACAAAGGTAACAGTATGCATCTTCCAGATTTCATGGCAGTACATGCGTGTTCCTGATTGTAGCTGTGAAACACGTACCCCAGGGCACTGTGGAACTGCCCTGGGCCTCAATCATGTGTTTGTCCTCCTCACCAGCTTTTGATTACAACATTCCTCTCTGGTTTTTCAAGACAGGGTTTCTCTGTATAATGGTCCTGGCTGTCCTGTCATTTGCTCTGTAGACCAGGCTGGCCTGGAACTCAGAGATTTGCCTGTCTCTGCCTCCCAAGTGCTATAGCATCTATATTATCTAATCTTGCATTAGGAAAGAGAAAAATGGAGTAGTAAAATTAACACATTATTTTTTCATTTTTATAAATGATCCTCTTAAGACTTTGTTTAAAAGTTTTGTGTATTTTTTCTCATGAAAGCACTTTCATATTCTTTTAAATTGGGCAAATATTTTAACAGCCCTTTGAGTTTCTAAATTTGCTGCCAAATTTAAATAAAATCACATTTATTATATTTTAGGTGTTGAGTAGGTTCCAAGGTGCTAGGGCTGCTACATGGAGGAACTCTGTCTTGAAACCTCCCCCCTCCAAAAACAAAACAAAACAAAAAACCCTGAGTGTTTAGTAGGAAATAAGGAATAGTGGAACTTTCAGTTTGATGTGAGACCTTTGAGGATTTAGCAATTCCAACAGCAATTATAAATACTTAATAAAACTAGGTTTTTACTTCTTATTAAGTGATGATTTTCCCAAAACACCAAAGGAGACACAGCTGTTTGATTGACTTGGTAAGTATCAGCATTTATTTCATAAATATGTGAGTCTGAAGATTAAAAATTTTAGTTTGGCAGAAGTTTTGTTTTAATTTATCCTAAAGTTACTAAAATAAAAGCCATAATATAACATTCTTTCACAACTTTGAACACATTAAAACAAAAACTGTTTATAGGAGAAATGATTTTGCACATCGAATGAAGCTGTATAAATCAGAGCTGACAGATAAGGGCTAGCATCGTCACTCATCTCTTTAACACGGGAGCAGGCTGGCACAACCAACAGACACATGTCCTTTGAAATGTTGTATGTGTAGATCTAAGGCTTGAATTGTTAAAATTGCTGATTTTTTTTAAGGTCTATTGTGATTACCATGGCCACTCTCGGAAAAAGAATGTATTCATGTATGGGTGCAGCATCAAAGAGACAGTTTGGCACACCCACGACAGTGCAGCTTCCTGTGACGTCGTGGAAGACACGGGGTACCGGGTAAGTGGTACAGGCAGTTCATGAATATTTGGGGCTCAAATGCATGTCAGCTATAAGAGCATTTAGTAGACACAAATTGATCAGATTTGATGTTTGTGTCTTGCTATTTTTGTTTCGAAGTTTTTGTTTTTAGGTTTGCTTTCATATTGATCTTTGCTATCCATTTGGAATTTATTTTTGTATTTAGTGTGGAACTGTGTCTTAGTGAGGGCTTTTATTGCTGTGAAGTGACACCATGACCATGGCAACTCTTAGAAAGAAAACATTTATTTTCAGTGGCTTGCTCACAGTTTCAGAGAGAGGCTCAGGCCATTATCATCATGATGGGAGCAGGGCAGTGTGCTGAGGAAGTCGCTGAGGGTCTTGCAGGCAACAGGAAGTCAACTGAGACACTGGGCAGGATCCTGCCCCCCCACAGTTACGCACTTCCTCCAACAAGGCCACACCCACTTCAACAAAGCCACATCTCCTAATAGTGCCACCCACTATGAAGACTGTGGGGGCCACTTACATTCAAACCACCACAGGAACAATCTTACTTTGTCCATAGACACCAGTTGTGTGAGCACAGTTTGTTTACTAAGCAGTAGTGTGGACACATGTGCATTCCGTGCTTGAGTGTGTGTGGAGGGCCTCGGTTACCGTAGGCATTCCAGTTTCTCTGCTGCCGCATCTTTTAATAACGCTGAATTCTGACAAGTTTTCTTACTCCTTTAAAACCTTTTGTTGGCTGGGCTTTTTTGTTGTTTGTGGGTTTTTGTTTATTGTCCTTGGGAATTCTAGGATATTCATTTGTAGATTAACATTGAGATTTGAATCAGAATAGTGCTAAATCTAAGTTTGAGAAATTACCTAAGAGCATCTCCATCTGTGAACATTGCTGTCTATGTAGTTGAGTCTCATTTTCTTAATAAAATTTCTCTACATGGATGTGATGTTTTACTAGTTTTACCCTCAGATACTCCTGGATCTAATTGCAGTTGGGACTAAGAACTTTTCCCTCACAATCTGTTAACCCTCAGTAGATCATTCATTGCCTATAGGAAAATTATTAATTCTTTCAGGAATTGCTGTGAGTTTTATGATCCTTCTAAAGACCATTGCATATCAAAATGTATCTTCCCTGCTAACTGTGTAAATGTGAAAGTGAAGTAGGGCTGTGTGAGACCCTGAAAGTTACAATCTCTGCCTTACAAATAAACTTTCCACGAAGATACTTGGCAATGATCTTCTAACATATTTTTAAAAGATTTATTTTATGTGTGGATGTATTGTTTGCTTGTGTGTCTGTACCATACATGTTCAGTGCCCACGGAGGCCAGAAGAGAACATCAGAAACACTGAAACTGAGTTACAGACAGCTGTGAACTTCCGCACGTGGGTGCTGGGAACTGAACCCAGGTCCCCTGAAAGAACAAGTGCTCTTAACTGCTGAGCTGTCTCCGGCCCCTGGAAGGTTCTCAGGATAGAGTATTCTGTAAAAGAAGGCAGCATAAGGAAATTAATCCAAGAGGAACACATTTGTAATACTGTGGTATCCAGTGTGTCAACATTCGGCAGTCACAGCTGTAGATCGTGCAGAGTCTGTGGTGTCCAGTGTGTCAGCATTCAGCAGTCACAGCCTTAGACGGTGCAGAGTTCTATCAGGTTAGGCCACATCAAGTAAACTGTGTCAGCATAACTCAGAGATGTGAAGGTAAGGTAGGGAATACTTAATTTAGATTTGATTAACAGTGTTTGACAGCGAGTAGCAGAGGACAAAAGGACTGGAAAGAACCAGACAAAAGACAGCAGGTACAGCCTTTCCATGTGCTGCTCTCCAAACATCAGCACAGTCTGCCTTTACTTTAAAAATACCCATTACTCTGCAATTCTGTGTCACTTACATTGAAAGCAGATTTTACATTCACATTATCATCTGCTTAACTGAGGAATTATAATTGTGTGTGTGTGTCAGAGAGAGAGAGCGTAGTATGTATGTGGGGTGTGTGTGTGTGTGTGTGTGTGTGTGTGTGTGTGTGTGTGTGTGTGTGTGTGTGTGTGTGTAGTGCCGTGGGGGCTAGAAGAGGGCATTGGTCTCCGGGAACTAAAGTTACAGCTTATTGTGAACCACCATGTGGGTGCAGAGGACCATATGCAGACTCTGCAGGAGCAGTGAGCGCCTTTGACCACTGTGCCGTTTCTCCAGCCCCCACCTTCACTCAGCACAGCTACACAACAACCTAATGTTTGTTGATCATCTTTTCAGGTCACCGTATCTGGATTCATAGCTGTTATTTTTATCAATTACCCCAAACTAAGATGGTGTGATTTGGTTTTACTGTACTGAGCACTCACATGGATTCTTTGAGTAGCCTCTTGGAGGTGGTGCCAGATTCTCCACAATACAGAAGAAACCAGTTGATGCTCAGAATACCAACAGAGGTGGTGGTGTTTCTCCACATCCTTTTTACTGCACCGTCTTTCCTAGGGAAAGCAGTGCCTGGTTATTTTAATTTACCTAGTGAAAATCGGAAGTCACTACCCTTTGGAAATACTTCTTTCTCATATTTCTGTAATGTCCATCTAATTATTACTATTTTTAAAACAAGAATGCTTTATATATATTACAAACATGCTTTCTATTTTTTTCTGGTGTGTAGTAATTTAAAACTGATATTTGTTGCTTTTTTATTTTTTTCTCTCTTTAATGGCACTGGGCTTTGGCCTTCTGCATGCTGAACAAGTGCTGGACTCCCGAGTCACATCCTCAGCCCCATCTTTTTTTTTTTTTTTTTTTTTTTTTTTTTTTCTTTTTTTTTTTTTTTTTTTTTTTTTTAAGTTCTGTCCATGTTTAATTTAATTGGTGAGCAGTGACTTCAGGTCATTGTTACTGACACAGCTGAACCAGTGTCAGTGGCATTGGTTCTGTCTGCAGTGACACTGTGTTTGGGTTCTGTTTCTGAGCCTTCTTTGCAGAGCTCCGCGTGTTTGCTGCAATGTCCCCATTGGATTGCTTTTAGACAAACAGGCTGCACTGATGTGTGAGATGGTTTCTCCAGACACAGCCTTCCTTTTCTTCCTTCCTTTCTTTTTTGTCTGTGATGATTTTTCAGTTTGCTTGTAAAATATTTACATTTTCAGGTGAAGTTGAGGATAATTTTAAGTTAGAAAGAGCATTGGTGCTGCTTAGATTACTATTCCACTGGTGGCCTTTTTTTTTTTTTTTTTTTTTTTTTTTTCTTGAGGTCATTTAGTGTTAAGTCAATTGATCCTTTTCAGATAATTTGTTTTAAATTTTAAGCATGGTTTTCTTCATATTTTATTTACTTGTACATGTGTGTGTGTGTGTGAGTTTTCACACATGTGTGTGGGTACCCACAGTAGCCAAAAGAGAGTGCCAGATCCCCTGGAGCTTCAGTTGCAGAGAATAACCAGCCAGTGTGGGTTTTCAGAACTGAACTCGGGTCCTCTGCATGAGCAGCAAGTCCTCTTAACTGGGAAGCCGTCTCTCAAGTCCCTTTCTTTATACTTTCAACCATGTTTGTTTTAGGTGCTTTTAAATGTATACTTTGTGTATTGCTTGCTACCATAAATGTGTTTCCTCACTGGTCACCACTTGGAACAGCAGGAAAGTCTAAATTAGTTAAGACTGAGTAAGGGGAAGGAGCCCAGATACTTAAAATGAAGCAGTGTTTGAATTAATAAACTCTGGCTTACAATTTTATTTTTACAGACTCTGCCTAAGATACTAAGCCACATCGCTCCAGCATTTTGTATGAGCAGCTGTAGCTTTGTGGTGGAAAAATCCAAAGAATCCACAGCTCGGGTTGTAGTGTGGCGGGAAATAGGAGTTCAAAGGAGCTATACCATGGAGAGCACTTTATGTGGCTGCGATCAGGGGAGATACAAGGTAAAGCATTCTAAGATGTGAAGCTACTTTTAAACTTCTTGTGTCTGTATGGGCATGTGCCCATGAGTGCAGTGCCCAGGGAGGCTCTGGAGCTGGAGTTCCAGGCAGTGTAAGCTGTGCCCTGTGAGCACTGGGAACTGAGCTCTGGTCCTCTGCAAGAGAAGCAAGCACTCGTAACCACAGTGCTCTGTCTCCTGCCACAGGTGTTTAGATGTAAAGGTATTTGATGCTTCCTTTCATATATGTGCTCATGGTTTTCAAGTATGTGTCAAATGTACCTTTGTCTTACTGAGCTGTATGTGTGACGCATAGTAACGGGATCCAGTGACGCAGTGTTGATAGTGAGTTTCTGGGAGAGAGTGAGGGTGCGTCTGTGTGGGTGTGTTAGGATGCATGCCTGGATGTGCATGGATCCCAGAAGACATCCCAAATGTGGGGTGTCTTCCCCTAGGACACTGGTTCTCAGCCTTCCTAATGCTGTGACCCTTTAACACAGTTCCTCGTGTCATGGTGACCCCCAACCATAAAATTACTCATTGCTCCTTCACGACTGCTATTTTGCTCCTGTCATGAATTATAATGCAAATCTCTGTGTTTTCCGATGGTTTTAGGAAACCACTGTGGAAGGATCCTTTGACCCCCAGGTTGAGAAGGGCTGCTCTAGTCCTATTCTCTTTATTCTCTCAACACAGGCTCTCACTGACGTGCACACAAACCTTCCAACCCAAGAGCTAGAAACTTGCCCTTGGCTGGCCATCCAGGGAGCTCCTAGAACCTTCCTGTTGCCCCGTCTGCCCCAGGCACACACAGCTGGGCATGGGATTTGAACACAGGTCTTCGTGCTTGAAGAGCAATCAGTTTTACCCTCCCAACCATCTTCCTGGCCCTGCTTCTTATTGCTTTTAATTTCTCTAAACTAAACCACTTGCTTAGGAATAATTAACAAATTTTAATTATTTAAATCTATTCACATCCATAGTTTTAAGGAAAGCACAATGGATCACACATTTAATTAGCAATTCATAAGGAGCTACCAAAAAACCACCTATTATAAAATATTTCCATCATTTTAGTAGATTTCAATAGTAAGTATTTTTTATGAATTTTAAGTAAGTACGTTAGTAACTAGTTGGGAACACACAGTCTGAAAGGGTCTCAACGTGAGGTGTGATGTGCTTGCTTCCAGTGCCCTCTCCCCCTGTGGCTGCTTTTCATGAACTCATGGAGGCTCTACTGTTATATTTAGATTTTTGAGTGTGACTTATGTGTGTGTGTGTGTGTGAGTGAGTGACACAGGAGGCCAGAGGACAATCTGTGGAGTTAGTTTTCTTCTCTTACCAAGAGGATCTCAGTAATTGAACTTAGGTGGTCAGTCTTGGTGACAAATGCCTTTATTTGATGAGCCATCCCACCAGATCCATTTGGTTTTTTTTTTTAATGTTTAAATATGTAAACTATTAAAAAACAAATGAATACCAAATATGTTCCCATTTCTCTTTTTATGTGATTTAGTTAATAGAATTCTCTTTGGTTTAAAACCTTATGGGGAGGAATGTTTCTTCCTAAGCCCAGTTTTAAAATGTTTGCCGTGTGAGTGAGAAGGACAGGTGTCTTTCTGTGGAAAGTGCCTGCCGTGTTAGCCATGCCCGCTTCCCACGTATAGCGGCTCCTTTAGGTGGGGACTGAAGAGTCAGCTGTGGCCCATGCTTACAGAGGCCTGATCTCACCACACAGACAGCTTTTGATGGTGCAAGGCCTTCCGTTGTTTTGGAGCTTCATTTGGTATCTGAAAATAAGTGACAATGTAATTTGCAATCAGTGTTTGTGATTTATATGGTGACATTTAATGTTTGATAACCTTATGTTTGGGAAGCAGTTAAAGAAGGTTATGGGCACCGTGTGTAATTTTCTTTTTGATGGAGTAGAAAAATTAAAACAGGCACTGCCAGTTGACATGGAATATAGGAAATGTTTTACTATTTTTGTTGAATTCGTTCTCTTTTATTTAGGTACTTACTTCCATTACTTTTTACCGACTTAGACACGGTACAAGTATCTATAAGGTAATGGTCCTAAGTGCAAAAAGCTTTGGTTCTGACACTAGAGCTTCAACATTGACAGTCAAAGCACAGCTAAAAGGAGTGTTAGGAAGGCTCCGTTGGAACACAGCTGCACACATGAACAAGAGTATTGGTAGTCAGAAAATTCTCTGTGTGTTCTGTTCCCTCAGATTGTTGGTATTTGCATCGGTTGTCAGTGGGAGGAGGCGTCTGATTACCAAGTTCAGGGTTGAGAGTTCCTCAGAAGCCAGAACTGAGCTGATGTCTTACAGTGTTCTTTTAGAGCCGGACCTTGTTGCATATCCCATAATCCTAGCTTGCTGGGTTGTGGGGCAGGGGAAAGGCAAATTTGGGGTACATGGCAAGACTCTGTCTCTAAAACAACACCAAAGAACACTAAGACCCTGTACTTTAGAACACTAAGACCCTGTGCTTTAGAACACTAAGACCCTGTACTTTAGAACACTAAGACCCTGTGCTTTAGAACACTAAGACCCTGTGCTTTAGAACAGTTTCCTTTATGATCTAGAATAATGTCATTTCACCAAGAGCTTCACAGTGTGATGTCCTACTGCCACAGCAATGTTTCAGTTCTGTTAATGTAGTTAAAAATTCTTTGGATATGACTTTAATGAGTTGCAGCTGAAGGAGAGCAAAGGTTCTCAGAGTCTGTATGTTTTACTTTATTTCTAGGGTTTACAGATTGGGACTCGAGAATTGGAAGAGATGGGAGCAAAATTTTGTATTGGTTTAATGCGTTTGAAAAGACTGACTTCTCCATTGGAATATAATCTGCCCTCCAACATGCTTGACTTTGAAAATGACTTAATTGAATCAAGCTGTAAAGTAACTAGGTAGGATGTTCTCTTTTTTTTTCCTTCCCTATGTGCTGTCTGCTGCTAAAGACCTCATGAGCATGACAATCTCCATAGCTAAGAGCACGCTTACAGTTAATAGGGTTAGGGTCACATGTCTAAGACTTGTTTCTGATTGTAATGATCGATTCTTTTACTGCTAATGTTTGATGAGTATTGCAATGAAAAGGCCTTCTGCTTTGAATGTTGCTTTTATAACTGTAATACTTCACTTTTAACTCAAAAACAAGCACTGGAGAAACATTGCATTTAGATAATATCTAAATTAAGAAGGCTTGGAATCATGTTCTATATTTCAAAAGAGATTTCATTTTATTGATGTTATTGATTTTTTATTGGCTGTTCAGTAACCTGATTATATGTTGGAAATAGCTGAATTTAGCACATGTTTGACAGTTTATTTCTGTCAAATGATTCTTAAAATATTTTCTTTTAAAGCTCATTGTATATGACATTTGAACCATTTATAAATGTTAAAATTCTTAGTCGTAGTGTCAGACGTCAGCCTTCTGTTCTGTAGTGTGTGTGTGGGTAAGAACCTTGATGACTTCTGTTGCTGGGTATCAGTTTGTCATTGTGCTAATTTGTCACTGCACTGTTATTCTGTGAATCAACACAGCAGTGTCAAGTGTAGTGACACAGGAACTGGGCTCTTTGTGGATGTGGTAATTAGACAGTGGTCAGTGGCAGCCAGACCACAGTGGAGGCAAATGCGGAGTTCCCCATGATGTTTTTGGGCAGGTGGGATGGCTCAGTGGGTAGAGCGTTTACCATGCAAGCCTGATGATCGGAGTTCGGTTCCCAGAGCCCAAGTAAGGTGGAAGCAGACACCTGACTCCTCCTCAGGTCTCTTCTGGCCTCCACACATGCATGCCCACACACAGTGCTAATAAAGGCAGTCAGCCTTCCCTGAAGTCAGACACTGAACTCACACTGGTACCATGGTCCATGGAAGGAGGATGCTCGCCCCAGTCGGCCAGAGGACCAGCTTTGGGTCTTAGTGATCTACACAGACATGAACGTGACCCTCTTCCTCCAACAGACTCATTCTTTGAGAAGGATTATATGTTTTGAAAAGTGTCTGTCAGAATAATTATACTGCTAAACACTACCATATCACATTTAACATTTCAGTATTGTATTTCAGTTTTTAACTGTTTTCTTTTGTAAGTGTTTCTGCTTAATTTTGTATCATGGGGAGTTTGTACTCTATCAGAGTAGGGCGTGCACAAACATATCTGATTCTCACCACTGTGTCTATAGAAACCTCTAGCAGTCTGCAGCTGAGATGGGGTGTTTCCTCTAACAATCCCAGTCAACACAGGACGTTTCCTCTAACAGTCTGCAGTTGAGATGGGGTGTTTCCTCTAACAATCCCAGTCAACACAGGATGTTTCCTCTAACAGTCTGCAGTTGAGATGGGGTGATTTTTCAGTGTATTTCCACCCTCTTTTTCAGCTGTTAAAAACTCAGCTGCCTCTCTCCCTGGTTATCATATTCTGTCTGTGTCTCAGATTAGTTTTGCCCAAACTTCTGATTTTCCCTTGACCTTTGTATCCCAACGCTTCTGTAGTTTTCAGGTTCCAGATCTGAATTTATCTCCATCTTTCTGTACTTAAGCCATCCATATTAGGCAAGAGTACCTGTGGCATCCTGGTATGCTGTGTAGCTTTGCTTTCTCCTATTGCTCAGAACCTTCCCTCTGGCCACCTGTTTAGATGGTTTGCTGAAGTTTCCCATTGCAAATGTAGTTTTTGTTCTCTTAGTAACTAAGAACTTTTTCCATTGGGATTCCTCTTTCTGGTCAAACTTAATTTGTTCATTTTTAAATGTATGTGTGTGTTGGACTTATAATTGAGAGTTTAATTCACTTTAATTACAGCTACCATCAGTGTGTCTTGGTGCCCAGAGTGGCCTGTTCCCCTCACGGCACTTTGCATGTTTGCGTGCGCCCACGCCGTCCCTTGGCCCTTTCCCCTCTGGAGCAGCAGAACCTCGGGCCCATCTTTGTGCACAGTTTTCCCTGAGGTTGGAATTAGCCACTGTTTGCAGGCTGATGTGATGATTTGTGGACTAAAGCAGCATTTATACCAATGAGTACTGCTAGTTTGCTGTTTCTTTGCCATCGCTGTTCTTAAGCTCTCTTAAACAAGGCTGTGTATTCAGGTAATTACATACATGAGTACCCATCTGTGCATGTGTGCACAGACAGTCTGTATGCCCTCAGGATGGCTTGGAATCTAATCCTACAGTATAGACTTCACCCTGTTTTAAAGTTTCTAGCTCACTTGAATAACGGTGAGAATTGGCATTGCCGTAAGGGTGGCTTCTGAACCTCTGCTGATTTTGATTTTCCTTGCTCTGCCTTCCTTTCCTTTCCAAAACCTCTTGGGAAAAGAGTTCCTGTGGTGTTGGTGCCTGGTGGTGCTACTGTTCCCTGGGTGGTTATGTTCTGTTGATGAGCCGTAGGTTTAAGTGTCAGTGCCAGGTTCCAGTGAAAAGTGTGCAGCTGCCTTGTGCTGAGGTAGAAGACACAGAAAGGATTGTTTGGGGGAACTATTTTCTTTTGTTATTCTTACATCGGTACTCTAGAGGTTTGTCCGCACATAACAGACTTGCGGTCTGTTAGCACATAATATAAACTGCTGTGTCTGCTTCCTCATGGACAACAGATGCTGAGACCTTAGGACACGGTAATTGTATGACCTTCCCACTTTTTACTGTCATGTGTTTCATGTGTGGTTCATAACTGCTTTAGCCGGCCATTATTAAGATTTACTTTTTAACTCTCCATTGGTCTCTACCGCACCCCTGCTCTTTCCTCTCTGTTGAGAGAAGGGCTCTGTCTGTAGCCCAGGCTGGACTCAAACTTGGCAGTCCTGTTGCTTCAGCTCGAGTGCTGGCATTGCAGTGTGCACCAGCCCCCAGCTGGGTCCTCTGCTTCTGCTCGAGGTTAGGGTCATGTAGTGTGTTCCTTAACTGGGGTGTGTGTCTCTGTGTGTATGTATGTTTGTCAGTGTGTATCTCTCTCTCTCTCTCTCTCTCTCTCTCTCTTTCTCTCTCTC